GCTTTCGCGCGCCGCGCGCACCTCACGCGCTATCATTATTCTATGCATTATTTATGTCATTCCCCGTGTGCCGAGTACAATGTGGGTCTACGAATCAAAATGCATTGCTTATGCAAATAGCGGTCGTGCCCTGCAGTCTCGGGATGAATTCGCAGTCTGCTACGGGGAATAATCATAATGATCAATAAGATACAACCGCTCGTACGCCCGTTTCTCTCTCTCTCTCTCCCCCCCCCCTCTCCTCCTCCTCCTCTGCGCTTCATGCAAATCTTGAAGCGTATTGTCTGGCGATATTAAGGGAATTGTTATCGCGTTGCATAATTTCGGTATTCGATCGTGCTTGGGTTTGCTCGAGTCCGCTTGCTCGGCAATCAGTTTGTTGTATACCCAACATCGATTTCCGCATTGTTTTTCGCCTAATTTCCCGCGAAAATTGTAGAAATCACGTAACTGGAGCTCATTACCGTCGATCGTGGTTATTTCGCGCGCAATATTTCGCGGCCGCTGAAGGAATTCCGATTGCACGGTCCTTAAACCGTTATAAGATAAATCATGGTTTTTGCCGACTCTCCGCCGCGCGCGCGCGCGCGCGATATTTCGATGATATTTCGCGACCAGCGGCTCTCTACGGAATAACGGAAGGTGGTAGAGAGAGGTTCGCTTATAGGGCGAGCGCGGTCGGTTCTGGTCGTCGGGTGGTTTTGGAATCCGCGCCACGAGTCGGTGGTTTTGCGGTGCGGCGAAAACCGCCGACCCTCTCGAAGCTCTTCCCGGCCGTTCTCCCTGTTTGCGTCGTCCTTTCGCGTAATCCCACCATGGTTTAGCGAGTTTCTCACGAGAACCTCTAAGTAAAGCGGACGAGTGCGCACGGCCACCGACTCTCGAAACTACCGTCTCTTTGATTAGCGCGGTATATCAGGTGCTCCGATTGATACAGCCAGCCGTTTCTCTCGCGTATCGAGTTAAAAAGGGCGCCGGTCGAAAGGAATCTCATTATTTCTCACGAGAGAAACGGGTGAGATCTGTAGCGGTGGCTTTCGGGTTTTAGCCCTTCAACGAGTTGGTAAATCGCAATCACGTGAAATCTTCGATCATGTTACCGGGGGAGCGAGAGCGAATTATAAGTATTCGGAGCGTAATACATAGACGTACGTCCGATCGCTCCGGCGGCATTTCCGTTTTAGACGCGACCCTAATGTGAGCACAATGCCCGTTTACGGTAGCTCGAGATGAGCAAATGTTCTTGGCACTTGAGCGCGCGCGTGCCTTGTGTTTGGTTACGGACTTGATCACAGGCGGGGACATCGTGTAGAGAGCAGTTAACCTGTCCGATAATACGTGCCGATAATCAGGCATCTAGTGGATGACGGACGGCGGGATCGATGGAGCTAACGTAATTAGACGCAGTGATACGCGCCACTTAAGCGTACTTGAGTGGCTGCAAACGCAACTGATTGGTCCAGTTGCTGTTAGCGTTAGGACGTAACACGGCGTGGCCGACTTGTCGTCTCCTCTCCTCTCTCTCTCTCTCTCTCTCCCTCTTTGACGGCCGAAGAGACAGGGTGACCGTAAACGACGTCGCCCCATAGTCGGCTTTAACGAACATCCATTGAGCGGTCTCCTCGCTCCATTGAGTTGTCCGCGATAATATACTGCGAAACGGTAATCCGGTATCTGCCGGGTTGTATTAAATGTCGCGCGAGACTCGAAAACCAATAAAAGCGCGATCGTGCCGATCGTTGCGCTTTAATGCCAATTCTTGTTCGTCGTTATCCGGCCCCGGCTATCGTTTTCACGGGGTTGTCGGGCCGATAACGCGCTATTTGAATACCGCCGGCGCGAACGCGCGCGCGCGCGCCGTGTATTGCGATGGCTCTCGATCGCGCGGAATAAAAAAGCGCGGCGTGGAAAGAGGGACCGGGATGATGATGCGGGAGAGAGGAGGCTATCGGATAATTAAATCGGCCGCGGCACGTAAAGGACACTGATTGACGTGCGCGACGGCTACGTTCTCTCATTATTATTCGTCGAAACGACATAATTCGCGCGCTTCGCTTTTCGACGGGCGCTAACCGCGTCGCTCGCCGCGCCGGTGCGCGTTGCTTTCCCCGCCTCGCTCGCCGGCGCGAAAGGCCATCGCTATCGTCATGCCGTTCGTTGAAAAACGATAAATATTTCAAGAAAGTGTCGGCAAGATGCTGCGTCGTGTCTTTTCGACGTATCGAATACATTACTCTCGACATTTCCATACGTGTTAGCTGCGTTTTTACCGTGTATCGGTAAGCACGATTTACGATAATTATATGCGCGCGCGGGGCGATTCTTCAAATATAAATCCGAGAGGCGTTGGCGTGCGCCGACAGGCCGACATTCTTGCCGTATTGATCTGTTAACGGAGCTACCGGAAAATGCCAAGCGGTACATCTGACGTCTGCTATTTTGTTCCGCGGGCGAAAGCTGATAAATTAATTGGATTGACCGTCGTGACTTGTCGCATACAAATCGGATCAGCGATTCCACTGCGATCAGCTGTTTGCCAATTTGCGTTAACTCCGCTCTTCCGTCCCTTAATATGGCGGTAGGCGAGAGAATCTCGCGTTACGTCTCGCATTTAAAAGTCACTTGCGAAAGATGTACGCGCATACGTTCGCGAGCAACGAGCGAGCGAGCGAGCGAGATACGCAGCGTTGTCCGATATACGATTCCGTCGATTCCGAGCTTGAGCCGTTTAAAGATATTGCACGCTAGGCGCGCAAATCCTCGGCGTAATTCGAACATACACGGGCGATAATGCGTCGGGGAGAAGCCCTTCGCGAAGCCGTAAAGATTAAAACGCGCTGCGGTGACTACGAGCAGCTACGAGGCTTTCTGAGGACTACCTCGCGTTAAGATACATCGATTCGCGCCGTATCGTTCCCTTTGGAGTATAAAGTCTACTCGCTTTTCAGTAAAAGCGTTTCAAAAGCAATTCAGAAGCGTGTTACCAAAAATGAAGGAGAGCCAAGATGGCGAGTGATTTCACAAAGCGAGATTAAAAATTAATCGATCGCAGATAAGTAACACAGATAATCGTGACAATGTAAATCGGCTTAAAGTTTAATTGGTTTAACAATTCCGTCACATGTATCTTGGTCTCGTAGTACTTGGCGTTTGTTCAACGTCTGTTTCCCGGTGTTATACAGGGTGTACTAAAACCACCGGATATCCTTTTAATCGCAGGTTCTTTAGAAAATTTCAAGAGGAAAATTCTAATACCAAAATGTCGAGGCTATAATAGTTTTTATATGATGAGCGATTACATTTCACAGATGACAGGCCTGAGATTTCGCGCGCTCAGGCACGGCGACGTGACGAGTGATAAAAGTGTTGCTATGAATGTCGCCCTTTCTAGTATAGTAACAACCTTTATGGTAACTGATATTGATCGACCACTTTGATAGCTGCAACACTTTAAAGTTACAAAATGTTGCAAATTTTTACTTGAATTAAACGAAAAGAGCGACATTCATAGGAACACTTTTATCACTCGTCATCTCGCCGTGCGCGCGAAATTCCAGGCCTGTCATTTGCGAAATATAATCGCTCGTTATTTAAAAGCTATTGTAGCCTCGACATTTTTGTATTAGAATTTTCCTCTTGAAATCCTCGAAAGGATCTGTGATTAAGAGGATATCCGGTGGTTTTAGTACACCCTGTAATAAAGTGGACCTGGCCCGGTATCGCGCGTGTGACTCATTAGTGCAGTAACGCGCCCGAAAATTGATCTTTCTTTCACGAGTTCTGGCACGATTTTCATTACGCGATCGCGATCGCCGGCGAATCGCGTTAACGACCCCCCGCTCCCCTTCTCACCCGTGCGAAACGTCGCGATTTTGTCGCGTTTCTCGACCGCCGCGGAATCTAGATCGAACGATCGGACGGCGGGGAAAAGTGGGAAAGGGAGAGGGAACTATATTCCGGCTTTTACGAGGCCATAGTGGCGTATCCGTTTTGCGGGGCACGACGTGCAAAACGATCGATAACACGCTCGTAACGTTATTACCAACAGGTATACGGAGGCGGGTAGCACCGGTACTACCGGCAATAATGTGGCTTTTACGCTCGTGGACGCTGATACAGCAACCGCCAGAGTCACTCGGCTCTTGCTACGGCATGTTCCGCGACGAAAAAGAAACGGCGCATTTACATCTGAAATATATAATTAACCGGCATAAACGTAAATTTATAACCGCGGCTCGTTCGTGACGCGACGGAGAGATATACGGGTTTAAATTATTACCGAAGTTGCTTCCATTCTGGCAGTCGATTAGAAGTTTGACTCTTGAGCGCCCGAAACGCAATCACTCTCGACCGAATAACGATTAGAGTGAAATTTTCCTTTTTCAGACGAGCAACTTAACTATCCGAAATGAGTTTATCACGTTACCCTGTATTTATGTTTATTACGTTTACTTCGTACGTGCGACGCTCGGATGAAATCTGAATCGAGATAAGATACATATGAATAGAATTATTAAACCAATTAAACTTTAAGTCAGTTTACATTGTTACGATTATGCGCCTCGAAGTTGCGGAACAGTTGGAAATGTACTCGAAGATTATTACGCCGCCAATTTCATTCGTGGAACACTGCCGAGTTATTTGAACAATACACTCACAGAAAAAAATTTCCGGATCCAATGCTATTACACTTGAATGTATCATAAAATAGAATCGATGTAGCGCCAATTATATTTATATTATAGAGACTAAAAAAAGAATGGAGAGATATGCGTGTGTTAAGATTTAAGAAAAGCACTAATGAATGGATCGCGGCGTGTTTCCGCTGCGGAATTTACGTCTAGTAAGTGGCAACATTTTTCCGTCCGAATCTGTGTATCGATTTCAAGCCACCCGCGAGTCTGCGGAGTCTCTCGAATAAATCTCGGGGTCTTACGGGCTTTAACGGCGTTAAGGGATTGAGGCGCATTGATACATTTAATGGCGTTTTTGTGTTGCAGGGTCCACCGCAGCCTGGGCAGCCGTTCAAATTTTCAGTCGGCGAGTCCTGCGATCGTATAAAGGAGGAGTTCAACTTTTTGCAAGCCCAATATCACAGGTAACCTTCTTCCTTTCGCATTTACAAACTTGCCGATGGCAGTCAACCGGAGATGTATGGGTCTTACTCGATATTATTAATAAAGACACGGCCAATTTGTCTATTGTCGCACGCAATTGACAATTTGTGTTAATCATAATAACGGCCATGAACAATACGTCTTCGTTGTCTGCCGTCACCGACATAAATATTTGTATAATGTTCTTTCTTTTCTCTGAATTAACGACGCGTATTTATTTTTATTGGTTACTCAAGTAACAGTACAGAGTACCGTCGTGAAAGTTGATATCGATACAACTTGTCCCAAAGCTTTTACGCGATCTCATTGGCGCTTTTTCGAAAAATTGTCGGACTCCCATTTCCTCGGCGAAAATACATATTTCCTCGCGGATAGTTGAGCGTGACGCAAACTCCATTCAGCGGTCAGTAGTTTGTCGAACGGAGTAAACATTCGCGTCCGTGGACACCGGCAGGGCCGTATCCATTAAGCGCTCGTGCAAATACCACGTGGGCGCGCACGCGAGACGCACGAACTGATGTACGGACGTAGGCAGATAATTGTTTGTCCGACCGGAAGCTGTGCACACCGAAGTATGCGGCACGGTTCTGGCGAAGGAGCGAGGGTCCCCATTTGGATAGCGCGCCTGTGTGCGCGGTGCATGCGCGTGCAACGTGTCTGCGATCGTGAAAGAGGATTTTCTCAGAGATCGCGCGTCTCGCCCTCTGGCGGATTCGGAAGCGAAAAGCTCGCTGGCGCGTGACTAGTTTCTTCGATCGTTGGATTTACGTCGCTGTTCATCGATATGTTAAATTCACCGCGTTCCGGGTTCACCGCTTCCTGTCGACGGAGCATCGGCGTCGTATCTCCTCACCCCTTCCCCTCTTTTCACGACAGTTAAACGCGCAGAGTGCTGACAAAGGTAAAACAATTGCAACAGCGGCGCGACGACACGTTCGAGCGGGCAGGTTCTATCGCGCGTTTAGAACAACATTCATAAATATCGCGGATTGAGAGATTAATCGCGAAAAAGCAAAAACGCATCCGGCCGCGTGAAACCAAGTGCTATCTCCCGGCCACGTGTTGGTAGGCGCGCGCGCACTCAAGCGCGCAACGCGATTCCCGATAAATCGTCCCGTAAATCGTCGGCACGGCGTCAATCTGAAATAATTAATCGACTTTCTGACCGTACGAGTATTGCCGTTTGCGTAACGAGAGTTGCCGCTCGCGCGAGCGTGATCGTTAATACCGTGCTAATTTATCGCCTTATGGCGAGGTGAGATTACGCCGCGCAACGTACAGCGTGATTCGCCTTTCACGAATATTAAACGCCGCGTCGGAATTGCCCCGCGCGCATTCTATCACATCCTCGAACCGAATTAAATCGCATCGCATCCCGTTACGAGACTTCTGGATTCCCCCCCCCCCTCCTTGAAAAACAAGAAAGGAACGGGATTTAGTTATTCGGAGAAACTCGAGCTTTCTTATTGGCGTTTCCCGCGCGCTTTCGAGCTCGACGGGCGCGAGAGATCGATACACAGACCGTCTTTACTCCGTTCGTTATCGCTGAAGCTTTTGCAGTTGTACCTTTATTTTCTCTCCCGTTTCGCGATACACGGCGCGTTTTGAACTTAATGTCGCGCGACGAAGAACGACGGGCGGAGGGACAATGGCTCCGACGATCTCGAGGGCTGGTGGATATTAATGCTCTGTTCTTGTTCTTCTTACACAGCCTTAAATTGGAGTGCGAGAAACTGGCCAGTGAAAAAATAGAGATACAGAGGCATTACGTGATGGTAAGCCGGGAAAAGGATAGAAACGTAGAAAGGGGCAGCGCGTTTCTCACACGTACACTTTCGCACACACCCACGTACATACACGTACACGCATACACACGCGCGCGCGCGCGCGCGCACAAAGCCATACGAATCATCCTGCCGTTGTTCCCAGATTAAAATGCATTCGTTTTCGTCGCGCTTGAATTCGAGAGATATCGCTCGGTCGCGGTCGAGCTGTTTCAATTCTCGCGAAATTGCGAAGACCCTAAAAGGGAGGGAAATTATTAAAAAAAACCGATTTGATTTTACCGAAATGAATTCTCGATATGCAGCGGCGGCGCGGTCGCAACGCTTTTATTATACGTGGGAGTGCAATTAAAAGGAAAATGGTTACGGATCTTCAAAGTAATGTCAGAGATATAATTCCAGAGGAGTCGGGCGAACGGCGGACAGGGGCGGGGAGGTAGAGAAAGAGAGAGAGAGAGTGAGAGAGGAAAAAAAGCTCGGGGAAATTATCGTCGCGACCCGAGCATTGGCGGTCGCGGGGCCGAAAATACTGGGAACACGGGGGAGAAACACGAATCACAGAGAGACACGACGCACCAACCCCGTACTCGTTATCGTAGGTATACAGTCATGGAGCAACGGCAGCGGTAACAGCAGCAGTAACGGCAATAGCAACAGCAGCGGCGGCGGGCGCGATGCACTCGAGCGTTACAGGCACATACGAACGCATTCATTTGCCGCGGTACAAGCGGTTTTGTCGACCGCCGCCACCGCAAGATTATTTTCCTGCGCCCCCGGGGCGCCGCGGCGCGCTAAACAAAAATACGGCGCGGGCTTGTCGTCGTTAAAAAAGTTATCGCCACCGCGGACGGGGCCTTTGTCCC